AAATGGTATTTCTTAATTTTTGTCCTCCAGAGACTGCACTGGAAGTTTGCTGCTCAGGTAAAGTTCTTGCTGCTGATGGGAACTGTGTTCCATGAGTAAGATTATCCCTTGAGACTTATTTCACTTGAGAATACAAGAAGAAGCAGCTGGACTTGATGCCTTCTATAAGAAGGGCCCTGACCTATCAACCAGTTTGCAGCAGAAATGCATAGGCCTTCCTAGAAATAGCAATACAGAAAGGTTTAAATTTAAGATCTCAAACTGCACCGGCTCAGATAAGCTCAGAAAAGATCTTAGAGGTTTACATTCCCACTCTGGTGAATTGTATGGTCTAGAAGTGGAGTGACCAAGCTTGAATACTATGCATACTACTAAAGTAAAATACTTTCTTTCTAAACAGAGCTGGCAGACAGGTACACACAAACGAAGACAAGTAAAGCCAGCCCAAAGAAATTAATTCACTAGAGATGTACACAAAAAAAACCAACACCCCAAACAAAAAAAAACAGAAGAGACATAGCAGTAAGTCCAGAAATCTAAGGAAGGCAGTCTTCTGTACTAAATACTTCACCATGAGCCAGGTACAAGGAGTGGCTGCTGCCCAGTTGCAAGGTGAGAACATTTATTCTCTACAGCTTTGGACAGTATCAAATGAATGGAGCTTGAAGACAAAGCCATCTTTATTTAGAACATTCTGCAACACATCTTTGCCACAGCACCAAGAAAAAAACAATACTTGAAAGAAATTAAGCTGTAAGGTGCCCTAGCATAAAAACAAGGACAGTGCTGGCCTGAAAACTGATAGTATTTGTAGATAAATCAGAGATGGGAACACTGATTTTGAGCAACAGGCACAAACTTCCAGCATAAAATATATAGTATCTTCATACTACTGTATAGCAGTAATAATAATTTAAATGCTGCATTTTAAGCAAAGCTCTAAAGAACTAAGAAATACCTGAATCTCTTAAAATATAACAAGAAATAAGTGTACCTCCCTTAACAAATACATGTGGCAAAGTTCTAAAGAATATGCAGCATTCCGTGTGAGAGGGAATTGTCTCTTTTTTTCTTCTTATGTGGCCACCACAAAACCCCAAAACTTTAAAGTTCAAGATTTTGTATATATTTTACAAGTTCACTGAGGTAGTCATAAGTAAAAATTCTATTAGAATATCTAAGGTTGTCACACATGGGCTTGAAAACGCTTCTACACTGCAGTAGTTAAGCCAATGCTAAGTTTCTGCTTTTTTGAAAGAAATTTAATTAAGCTTGTTAAAGTGTGGTAACACATAGCACACACACATAGTATACAGCTACCACATGAAATGTACATATGCATTATAAATATGCACACCAAGTAAGTGGCAAATGCAACTCAATAATCAGATAGAAAATGCTATATCACCAAGCACATATTTTCAGATAAAGTGGATACTGACAGATACTTAAAAAAACCAGGAGTAGTTGTAAAGTGGTGGAAAGAGTTTGATTATTTGACTGACACATATCTGTGATTTTACTAACTGCCCATATCATTGTTTCTCTGAACAACCACCCCCAAACCACAGCAGCTATTTAAGTCAATGAATCCTGGCTCTCTGCTTGGGACTAGGCTATAAATCCACCTCTGTAAATTGAGCAAGTCAAGGCAAGGTATGAAATAGGAATCTGAAGAAAAACGTGTGCTTGGAATGGCATCTTTTCTCCAGCTACGCCACTGACAAAATAAAGATGTTACCACTTCCAATAAATTCTATTTAATTTGCATTCTTATACTAATACAACACACTAGGGCTGGTAAATAAAAAAGGTAACAATGCTTATTTTTAACAAAATTATAATAAATGTAAAATAAAGAGTCCATAATTTAAAAAAATAAAGAAACAATTACTCTTTTGACAACCAAGTATTGCCAGCTGCACTCAGTTTAATTTTCAGCTAAGTAATAATCCCTTCAACTTAAAAATGAAATGCATCCAGTTGTTACTTAACAATCTTTAGAAAAATGAGTATTAGGAGAGAAGTTGAAAAGAGATGCAGAGCCTAAAAAAATGCTTGCAAGGACGAAATGAACATGTAAGCATAATTAGTTACATTGAGTAGGAGGAGAAAAATGTGTATATAGAAATTGTATCAACACACAGTTAAAAAAAAAACAACAGAGGTCTGAGTGACACAGTTGTCAACAAATCAGGTGAGTACTGTGTAAAGCGAAATGAGAATTGCCTAGCTCTTCCTGCGTATATAGTTTATTTAATGAACAAAATTGTCACTGAACGCACCTTTTGTGGTACTCAGCTTAGGGAGAAAAGAAGTACATGAACTTCAGCAAAACAAATCAACCTGAAAACTTTAGCACAGAGGCAGTATTATCATGAATACTTAGTACTGGCCAGATGAGCTAGAATTCAAGAGCCAAAACCCAGGTAACATTTGGATTAGGGACTTAGAATACAGGGTACTGGAGTATGTTAGGTTAGCAATTATTAACAATTCTACCTACCTACTGGACAGATCAATCTTACACTTTAGGACATTCATGTGGTCTGACTCTGCCATTAAAATACATTGTTCAGGCTGGGTTGGTCAAAGAAAAATGTATTTCACAGACATAAATTAAAAGAAACTTTTGTTGATATTGTCGTAACCAAAAATTACACCAGTGATGCACATTTAAAGAATTGCACACCTTACACTTTACACACTCTCCTTTTATGGAGAAGTTTCCCCAAGAGCAGAAAAAAATCCCGTTCTTCAGAACTGTTTTTGAGAAAGGACAGAATGAAATATTTTGGCAAACACTTCAGGAAAAGTCAAAACTCTCTCCTCCTGTAGCTTCCATGGTTCCTCATGTCAGTAACAAAATAGGGCTTGACAACAAAATTAAGGTCAGTGTATGAGTCACCCTCCAGCCGATCACATATACAAATTGCATATAATTTCTTCATAATTTTTTCTGATAAGGCTATTTTTAAACTGTTGTAACAACTACCTTCTGAGTAAGAATGCAGTAAAAAAAACCCATTTGTACATTTAACAAAACAGAAAGAAAGCGATTACTACCCTTTCTTACTTTTAGACACCTGAAACAGTTGCTGATGTTCAGATAAATTTTGAAAAATAAGATGCTAGAACACTCAATACAGCAAAGAGGAATTCTACATATAACACCACAAAGAACGTTCCTTAAAACATCTTGCTTGACTCCTGTGGGCTGTGCACCCTGCATCAGTTGGGCTAACAGCACCTCTTCAACTGTGCCTGCTCCCCCAAAGCTTTGACCCCCACTTCTTCTCAAGTCCCTGAAAGTGTGTAAGAACCAACTGCCCCTGAAGGCTTACTCTGCAGCTGTTTAAAACTCCTCTAAGATCAGTAGGAAGGGTCAGGGGGAAGGAAGGTAGGTGCTGCAACAGACACCCAAAACACCTCGAAGAAAAAGCTTTTTGGTTTAGATCAGTAATGTGATTCTGAAATTAAGCTCATGGCCAATGCCACTTCATAGTTTCTTTTAGAAAGAAGTAACCAAGAAGCTCACCCAAATGTATGCACCAAATGTGCTCTAACCCTTAACATCTCCACTGCGGTCTGAATGGATGACTAATGCTTTGGACATTTTTTTAACTCTGACACAAAAATAGATTTGGACTGGACTAGAAGACTTCCCTTTAGTGAGTTACGTTACGGTTCTACGGACAATACCAGAACTGCCCACAGTGTAGCTGTAGTTAGTGCCATGCAAGTAGTTCCTGCTGTGCAAGCACCATGGCACTAACTGATTTGATCTCCTCCTGTTGTTCCAAATTATTTGCTAATGTAAACACAGATTTCCATGTCCAATAATTCATACTTACCAGCCTCACATTCTAATACAATACAAATTACCCTGGATACTAAAGAAGTTTTCTCTGGCAATATAGATGTCTGCAAGTTTCTTCTTGGGAGGGTAGATTAACATATGCAGCACTCGTTGTTGTCAAAGCTAGACTGCTGCAGAACTCGTTAGCTTCTTTCAAGTTAGCTCACATATTTTTAGACCACACTGATAAATGCAGTTAATATGCTGCCTGTGTTATACAGGATGAGAAACTAGAAAATCATAATGGCATGTACCACCTGAAAAAACACACTGTCAATCATTAAACAGTGAAAATTAGCTTTAAGCTTGATATTATCATCCTCTCACAGTGGTTAATGATATCCATTATAAACCAAAATTAATTCCAATTTATCTGCATATTCATTAGCAGCTCAGTATACAACTTCTCATCTTTAGTTACGTGATGATTTTAAAATACACTCAGTGTTGTCATCATGATTCTACTGCCCTAGGATGAAGATGTACTTCTTATTTTGTCCTTCTCAAAAACGATATGAAAAAAGCAAAGAAAGAAAATGCAAAGCACTGAAGGAAAATTGAAGAGTCATTCAAAAGACTAATACATAAAATGCTGAACTGAGATGATCTGTGCAGATTAAAAAAAAAACGCTCTTACAACAAAATGGTCTCAACTTTCTCAGAATCATAATGTAGTGAGAAAGTTTTTATGTCTGGCATCTAAACATTTCCACTTAAATCTTATTTCCTAAGAAAATTAAATTTATAACATGTTTACTCTTCCCACCCATTCAACTGAAATAATTTGTCAACTTTTGTCCAGATTCAGTTAATTTTGTTCAAAAGCAGGTCTCACTAATCAGCGACTATTTAAAAGCTTCATCCCAAAAAAATAAAAAAAAGTTAAACCTTCCACAGCAGTACCCCAGTCACAGCTGAAGTGTGAGTAAGCAAGCAGACACTGCAGGTATTTGTGTGAAGAATAGTGAAAGCTGAAGTGCTTACGATAAGAACACGTTGACAAAACTCCCTTGGAGTTTCCTTATTTTTACTGCTCATAGAATAATTACTTCATTGAATTCACTTCTGCTGCAACAGAAATAAATATTTACATCTTAATTAGCCTGGGGGGAAAAAAAAAAAAAGAGACAGTGAATCCTACCACATCTGTTCCATATCTTCTTTCCAGATGAAGTCGGAAGACATTAGCTGTAATCTTGTTATCTTGGACACCTTGTCCAAGGCCACGGTTGTCATCCTGCATAAGTCGACGATCCATGATCACTTCCAGCTGACCTGAAACAGCAATAACAAGGATTATACTGCTAACAAGAATATGTAAAGTTTCTATTAAACATAAAAAAAATACCCTGAAATATAACTTATGAAGAATCACTTTTCTCTTGTGTATGGAAGAGTAACAGCAGATCAGCATTGTTAGAACTGATTCTGAAACAGTTAATACCTTTGCGCTTTGGCTGTTTTTATAAGCTTCCAAAAATTTTTTGCAAGCCTTTCAGCAGAAGGTTCTGCAAATTTTCAATGTAAGAACCTAAACCCAAATTTAGCATGAAAAGTCATTACTGTTATCTATTGTTTGTAACAAGGACACTTGGCACATCGAGCATCAAAGAGGAGAATCAGAAGTCTGGGCCTCTGTATGGAGAGACCTTCTGTAGAGGAACCATCTTCATCTTACATACCATAAAGAGTGCACTTCCCAAATGTACTTTTTCCTTTTCTTGATTGTTGTTTTACAGTTGGAGGCAGAGGGAAAAACAGGTAGGCAATATGAGTATATAAATACTAACAGCCACTCCTTCTTGTAAGAGTATTAGCATTTGTGGGAGTAGGAAAGATATTTGCAGCAGATGAACTATGAAGTCCCAAGTTTATACTGAACTGTAGCACTGCCGTTCAGAATAGCATTTCAAGCACGACGTTAAATCATAAATAGCCTTACCGAAGGCTAAGTTCCTATCTTTTCAAGTTTGCATCTCCAGAGAGAAGCCAGTTCAGGGCATGTAATAAAGGCTGTTACAATTTTTGCACACTGAATCTTCAAGCAAGTGTACTTGTTTCCTAAATAAGAAATGTACTATTTAAACTACTAGAAAAGGCTGCTTAGTAAAGAAGCCTCTTTTATACTTCTTCAGTGTTCCACAAATACTCATCCGATTTTCCCAAATACTTATTCTTTCATTCCCTCAAGTGAAAACAGATTTTGTGCACCCAGGACAGAAGTCAATGAGTAAGAAACAAACTCCCATTTTGAACCAAGGCATAAGGCTAGGATTATGCCTGAAATTGATGGTCTTTGTGGACTGCTATACAACCATGGGCTGACAGACAAGATATAATGTCCCTGAAAAAAGCCAGAAGCACACAAAGAAGGACAAACCGATAATAAAATTTTGTCAAAGTTTTCAAACAAAACTCAGAAGATCTAGATCCGAAACTACCTAGCTGCACTTCCAACATGCTTTAAGAAGCTAGGATAATGAAGACTGACAAAACAAAACTTTATTATTCTTAAGGTGACTGTGAACAGGAAATATAAACAAAATGATGAATGTTGCTGAAGTCGGAGATTAAAAAAAAAAACGATAAAAAAAAATTGGTTTAGGTAAATTTCTGGCTTAAAACCCAGAGAAATATATTGCATGAGGCTTCAAGACATAAGTGATCCTTGTTACCCCATTAATTATCCATCAAACACTGCAGGGAAGTGCACTTCTAAATGACAGTGGTGCATCCCATCTATCTAGAGGTCTTCCCTGGGGCATGTAGGATAATCCACTAAGTGGTAAATTAGAGCAGAACTGTATGGATATTTTAGGACAGAGAATGCTCAACATCGAGCATTTAGAAGTGATTATGCATCAAATTCCACAAATAGGGAGAAGTGCTGGTTTCAGGATGGAAGGAGCTCCTTTCCCACCCAGTGCTGTCGGGTGGCCCAGAGAGAGTGTCTCATTCCATGGTGCATCAGGCTCAGGGCACATGCACAGTTCCGAGGGGGAAAGTGGCCTGGGGGGGATGTCGTTAAGGCTTTTGGCTAGCTTGATAGCTGGGTCATTAGCTCCTTTTGTTAGCCCTTGGCACAGTTTTTACCTGTGGGGCTGGTTCTAGTTGTTAGTGCGCTGGGGACTCAGTTGGTTTTCTCCTTGCTCTTGGGCTCTCTGGCTCAGATCCTCACTGCTGGGAGCTGGCTGTGTGTCCATCAGTGGGTGGTGAGCTACTGTGTCATATGTTCTGTTCTCTATTATTTTAATTACTCATTAGTGTAACATTGTTAGTATTAGTATCACTATAATTTTCATTATTATATAGTTCTTATCTCAACTTTTTGAGCTTTCCTTGACTTTTTCTCCAACTCTCTTACTGCACTGTGGGAGGAGGTGTGGTACTAACTTGTGAGATAAGATTAAACCACAACAGTTCTTTTTGGTGCCCAACTTGAGGCTCAAGACAGTTGAGATAAGAACAGATCACAGTGTGTGATAAGTATTTGGTATAACAATGTGGTGGTGGCTGATCCAGACACAGAGTTTGGGGTTTTTAAACTTGCTAACAGAATGGTGGGATCTACTGCCTTACACGTTCCTTAATATCCTGATCTTATATGCTCAAACTGGGTTGAGGGGTTTGGTTAGGCTGGTCACTGTATTGCTGATGTTGAGAGGAATCCTGTATCTGTATTTAATATTGTCAGCCCCCTAGTACTTTGTGAGTTATCTCCTGGAGGTTTTCAATAATTACGCCTTTCCCTGTTTCTCCTTGGGGACTCAGCCTATAGAGGAGAGATTATTTGGTGCTGGCTTGGATGTGGAGAAATTATGCCAATTTTTTACTTCTTCTCTTCGGCCAATGGCAAAGGTATAAGAGTATTTTGGAAATCTTTCGTGGGCTTGGGGTGACCCACGGTTAAGGATTATCACATTTCTGAATGTTCTCCTGCTCTTGAGTAAAATTAAAGAACTATTTGGATATGCTGCCCCACCTGCTACCGGTTCTTAGGGCAGAGGTAGGTTCTGTGCAGCCACCTGAACTGCCCCTGCCCTAACACAGGGGGGTGGCATGGACCCGTCCGGAGGGCAGGGTGGCCCCAGCCCACAACTGCAACCTCAGCATCATCAACTCCCATTGTGGCAAGTCCACCTCCCACAGCAGCTCCACTTCCCACAGCTGCTCCACTTCCACAAACCCCCACACGCCAGTGTCACTGGTGCCAGTGTCAGTGCCCCCACTACAGGAAAAAAAGGGACATGCAAATCAGTCCATTTGGTAGAGAATGATGAGGTAGGAGGGTCGTCCCAGGAAACTGAGACAATCAAGAAGGAGATGGGAATATCGCACCAATCGAGATTCCTTGCTCCCCATCCAGAAGTTGATTCGTCAGCTGGAGAGACAAGGGGGGATCAGCAAAACCCGCTCACCCTTTAACAGCCCCATCTGGGCAGTGCGTAAGTCTGATGGGGAATGGAGACTGACAGTGGACTACCGTGGCCTGAATGAAGTCACGCCACCACAGAGTGCTGCCGTGCCGGGCATGCTGGAACTCCAGTATGAGCTGGAGTCCAAGGCAGCCAAGTGGTACGCCCCCACCTTTTTCTCCATTCCTCTGGCAGCAGAGTGCAGGCCACAGTTTGCTTTCACTTGGAGGAGCATCCAATACACCTGGAATCGACTGCCCCAGGGGTGGAAGCACAGTCCTACCATCTGCCATGGATTGATCCAGACGGCACTGGACCAGGGCAATACAGCAGACAAAGTTTTTGAGCTTGCTGTGGTTGCAAAGTTGCTGAGGTTGCAATGGGACTCATTTCTGAAACAGTCTCATAGACATCTGGGCCAAAGAGCACGGTATTGAGTGGGTGTATCACATCCCCCACCATGCACCTGCCTCTGGGAAGGTCGAATGGTGCAATGGGCTGTTAAAGACCCCACTGAAGGCAATGGGGAGTGGAACTCTCAAAAATTGGGACACAACTGAGATTTGGAAAAGCCACCTGGTTACTCAACATCAAAGGATATGCCAATTGTGCTGGCCTTGCCCAATCAAAACTTTCATGTACTGTAGAAGGGAATAAAGTCCCTGTAGTAGATGTTAAAAATATGTTGGGAAAAACAATCTGGGCTACTGCTGCCTTGGGCAAAGGCAAACCCAGTCATAGAATTGCTTTCACTCAAGGACCTGGGCATACTTGGTGGGTAAAGAGATAAGATGGGGAAGTCCAATGTCACAGAATCATAGAATGGTTAGGGTTGGAAGGGGACTTAAAGATCATACCCAACCCCCCTGCCATGGGCAGGGACACCTTCCACTAGACCAGGTTGCTCAAAGCCTCATCCAGCCTGGCCTTGAACACTTCCAGGGATGGGGCATCCACAGCTTCTCTGGGCAACCTGTTCCAGTGCCTCACCACCCTCTCCATGAAGAACTTCTTCCTGATATCTCATCTAAACCTCCCCACTATCAATTTAAACCCATCACCCCTTGTCCTGTCACTATAAGAAGAACTTCTTCCTGATATCTAATCTAAACCTAATGTGTACCTCAAGGAGATTTGATTCCAGCGGTAAACAGCCCATGAAATAAATTGCATGATGGACATTCCTTACTGTAACTAACCCCTGTTCTGACTTCTGTGTTGTAGGAATCACTACAGCAGAAATCACCAGAACCTACAGAGGTCAAGCCTTGCCAGAGGTGCAACAGTGACCCGACCTAAGATGGCTGAGATGTCAGATAAGGTTAAAGCCCTAAAGGAGAGAGATGGAAAGTAGGAATAAAGTTGTGTCATATGTACTTTACAGTTTTTGACAGAGTCAAAGCTGATGTTGAAGACTGGTGACAATACAGTGAGAAATCCTCCTCTATGCTGCTGACAGCATGAGAGCTAGTTAATTGCTCCATAGTGAGGAACCTGTCTCTAACCCAAGAATGAGAAGTGAGAAATAATCAGCTGTACGTGTTAAGTCTCAGATGGTGGATTACGCATTGAGACACACAGACACGCAGCTACTGAAGGCGCTTGCCTAAGCTGTAATGGTTTTGAAATTTCTTCCAGGATCCCTTTGAGATCCTGAAGGGCCTTCAAAAGTGTCATTAAGCATAAAACTTTCAGCATTCACAGAACTTCAGCTTCATTTCTGTTCTCTTTTAAGGAGTTCAACATGTCCCCATGACGAAGGTAGTAAACAGTTGTTTCATGAAGTATTACCTAATAATTACATGTCAAATGAATACATTCTCCTCCTTTTCCCTTTTTAGTGGTCGCAGAATAAATATTTGATCTCTTCACCTTGAGTGACATAATGGAGTTTCCCAAAGAATGACACAGTTAAAAAATTAATGTCATAAACAGGTATGGGATACATCTTTTTCTCTTTTATTTAACTGGAGTAGTGGAAAAGCTTCTAATGCCCTCTGAGTGGGTTCAAACCAATGTTCACAGAAAGCCAGTTTCTCCCTGATACTTAACTGGAATATGTCCAACAACACTAGCCTTAACTTCCCTAATTAAGTTCCCTAATTTGAAGACAAGAGAGTGGGGGGTCTCTGTGGACTTAGATGTTGTGTTATTCTGTGATGCAGGCTAGGACTGTTAAAGAACACATACAGACACTATTACAAGGTAATGGAGCTTTTGTACACTAATTTAGTCTCCAATACCGACGTAGCTAGTGCCCACAAACATTTGGTGGTTCAAGTTTATTCACAAGATCAGGCCAAAGGGAATTTGGTTTCTAGCAATGGAAGGCATGAAAAAATGTGTTTTGGGTCTTGTATCAGGTGGTCTTGGAACAAAAGGCTGGTATTCTCAACCATGGCTTTATTAAAGCATCTGTCTATAAGCCAGTGTTAAGTCTTTGGCCTAAGATGAATTAGGCTTCCTAATACTGCCATCAATCTAGTACAGTATTCATCTTTTGTCAGAATATACATCAATATGACATTTTTCTGAAAAGAAACTGGGAACTAGGTTTTGGCATCGTTTCTGATGGGCTTTTTTTCTTCTAAGTATTCATTCTGTTTATTTTCAAAACCATGTAAATTTAAACTCACAATATACCACAGCAAGGAATTGCACATCTTAAGTTATAGATTATATACCTTATTTTGTCCTCTACTTCCTAGCATTATTTGACTGCCTCCTCATTCTGGTCGCATTATAGACTGAAAAACTGACCGCTGTTTCCATTCCTCGAGGCCATTCATCATAGCTTTCTCAGCTGTGAGGGACGGACTGTGTCCCTTTTGGAATTCCTAATATGAATTGATTTTTCTTGTCCATGTATTCATCATCTCTTTCAAAGTACTCCATTATACTTGTGAAGTATGATTTTGCTTCAGAAGAAATATGTTGATTCTTACCCAGGGTCATTTTTATCCTTTATTTCACTAATTGTAGTCTTCAAAAGAGCTGGCATTTTTTTCCTTGACAGGAATGTTAGGCTATACTGCATATACCTTAAGACTAGTGCTTTCTACCCTAAAGCAAATAAACAAATCAAAAAACACGATCAACATCACATTATCCATCTGCTACCAGAGCAGTACAAAAGAGAACAAACCACTTAGTTTTGCTATTTCATCCTCGAGTTCTATCAGAGCTCTTGGGTGAAAAATACCTGGTTCTGACAATTTATTGCTCATCTAGTCTTTTTCATAATGTCTTTCTCTGTCTCTAGTTTGAGACAGATTTTCTACGGAAGATGACAGGATCTTATGTGGGAACAACCTCCACCCCTTCTCTTATGGACATACTCTAACACTTGTCAGAGTTGGAGAAATGTATTTCCTGCCTTCAAACGCTAGTAGGTACGTTAATCTCTGAATGAGATTTCAGACAATCATGAAGGATAGGCCTTTATAATATCTATCATCTTATACTTACCATTTTTCAAGCTTGCAACACCTAGAGACTGAGCTGAATGAAGTGTCAAACGAACTCCAATATCTTGGATATAAGCCATTGTAGTCATAGGATAGATATTTGCTTGAAGAGGCAATTTGCTCATCGTCAGTCTGGGCTGGATCTGCAGTATGAACACGAACTTCAATAAAATACATTCTTTTTATGCATTTAAATTTCAAAGACCTTTTCAGACATTTATCCCATGTGCTTTAGAAGCACTGACTGACAACTGGCACCAAAGCACTCACTCAACTGTATTATTTAGCTTTTTGGAGATCTGTGGCTAAAATTACCACTTTGGAAATGATAGCTTCAATGTACTTTTAGATCAAAGAATATTTAAAAAGACCTGAAAGATTCATCAAGGGAACCTACAAAAAAGGAATAATCACAGTTATAGAATGAGAGAAAATTTTTGCTCCTCTAGAGAGCAAGCAGTGAATAGATTCAAGGTAGTAAAAAAGGAATTGTTGGTTCATAATAGGAACTTTTTAAAGTGCTAGTGGAATTCTTGAATGGTACATGACAAATGAGTAGTAGTATTAAAATTATTTTCATGTTTAAATATTCACTTTACTGTCCCCAAAATGCAGTACTACACACTAACTGGAAAAACTCAGCAGGTATGGTTTTAAATATATTTGTGAAATTATTTTTAGCAAGGAAGGAAGCTAAGGAAAAGAAAATTTTCTCTTTTGTATGTGCTGCAGACTCCAAGTTAAGAAAGTTACGCTGTATTTCATCAGATGCATTACCAATAGAACAAGTTATTACACTCTGAAAATCCACCACTTATTCTCACCACAGCAGCAAGCGGTTTTGTCTAGGTCTGAGTTGCTGGACCTTACGCACATCTAGCATTGTGCTACCCAAAGGGCTCTAACTAAATAAACAAGGCAGAGGAGAAAGAAGGCAGGCAGATATAGAAGCAACTACATGGTGACTTGTCATAACTTGCTGTACCACAATTCTTATGTTAAAAAGCATATAAAAGAGTATTTAGCAAATTCCTTGAAAGAAAACAGCTGATACTTCATTTAGTCTACATCAAATTTTATAATGGATACATTTTTAAAGCTATTCTCCTTTTAAATGATATGGGGAGATCAACATAAGGTTAATGTGATTCAAACTCTTCTCAATCTGAAGTATTAAGACAGTCAAATATTGAGAATCTAGGCTTTTTTGATTAACAGACAATAATTACCTGATATCCATTAAGATCAGTATAGAATCTATTTTGACTGTTTATGTCAGATGAAATTCTCATTGCAAGCTCACGATTATATTCTCCTCTAATATCCACAATATTGGAAACTTCAAGAGACTGGCCTTCCAAACCTAGATGAAAAAGATGCATTTAGAGTGTCTCAATTTGTAAAAGCAGTTGCCACACATTTAAGAATGACTGTGCTCCCAGAAGATCATGATCTAGTTTTCCCGTTAGCTTTCCTTTTCTGTTATATCTACCCAGATATTTGAAGCCAGTTCAGTTTCGTACCACACAATACAGCAGTACTCAATGAACGGACAGTCTGAGGCCTTCACTGAAGTGAAACAGAAGCAATGAATGCTAAAAACCAACGTGGGTTTGATAAATCAGCAAAACAATTTTCAAGTGCTGTCTTTAGCAGCACCTAACATCCTGGAGCAAGACCTAGCCATTCACTCCTCCCCTTGACTCTGACGTGGCTGTCGTCGTTCACAGACAAGAACGAAGTTACCGGCTTCTTGACAGTAAGTGTTCCACTGCGAAGGAAACCTGTCAACTGTTTTAACCAAAACAGGGAGAATCTTCCTTAAGGAGAGTGAATTCAAAAACTGCACACTGATATGACCACAACCAGGACATAAATCTTTGTTGACAAAGGAAAAAAAGATGCCCATTCATTAAAAGATGGATTAAGTATCTGAAAATGCAGATATGTTCAGTGAGATATTTTTCTACAGTGCCTTACAGTGAAAATTAAATACCTTTAATAATAACTTTTACAAACAGTTCAGGACACAGTCTGGACTGGAATCATGCTATCATTCAGCATGACTAGTCAACCGTTTCTGTAGTCTGATGGGACTAACAATTGTGAAAAGAATTCTGGCCAAACAGAACAAAGACATAAAATTTCTCCTTGTAGTGAGATGAAATTACACTGTGATTGTTGGATGGATTGTAAACAGAAGACAGTAGAAAGTGAGGGACTGATTAACAACTTAGTCCTTTAAAACTTGAAGACAGTATTTAAAAAAAAAAAAAAAAGAGATACTAAATACCTTTTTTCCAAGAGTTCACTATGTCAGCTCACAAACAAGACCCAGAGCATGATTGTCAGTTCAGGCACCTGAACTGTAAAATCTTTTGCAGAAGGACAAAAAAATCCTCAAATAAAATTCCTGCATTCCTAAGCAGGCAGGCAGAGGTTAGCACTGTGCCTTTTTCCTTCTACACATAAAGTTTTTAGATTTTTTTCATTGGTTCTGTTTGAGAGCATGTTGGATTAGTTTCCTTAGCATCTTTACTTTGCCAAATTCTAAACCAAACACTCTGAACCTTTACACAATGGGCTGCTGAATGTATCTGCCTGCTGAAATTTTTTTATGCTATTATTTAGTATGTAAAAGGCAGCAAGGGTTCAGATTTTGTCAGCTGAATGAGGATGTCAAGCTTTCCACATTTTTAAAAATCTGATTCCACCTGCAGCAGTATCAGCAATTGTTAAAATGTTAACATTTCTCAGTAGCTATTATACTACAGTGCTAAATGAAGAACATTCAGTTCAGGTAATTACTTCTATTTTCCCAGATCTAGTCTGGAAAAGGTAGATCTATAAGCTCCACTTTTGACACTCTCAGTCACAGATATTCCAGCTATTTTAAAGTAGGACTGTTAAAGCATAAAGACATTGAACAAGCATACAATATTTACAGTATGTATTTTTAAGATTACCAGACCACTAATTAAATTTTGGCTCTTTACTACTGCATAATTGGAGTTAATACAAAAATACAATTATGAAGATAATTAAGCTTCTGATAGAAAGATTAACAAAACCATGCTGATATCAAAACCAGATGCCAACGGAAGTAAAAGAAGTTAAAAATAACTCATTGGTCAATTACTGAACATAGTTGCCAAGCCAGAGTATTTGCCTGCTCAAAATCAACAGAATTCTAAAGCCAAAAGTGGAAGTGTTGTACCAAAATTGCTGAAGAAGCTGTAGGACATGGAAGTACTGTCCACAGTTCGTGAGCCACACGATCTGACTTTCCACCCCATGGCAAGCAGATAGGTTACAATAGGATTACCAGGTCTTTATTTTAAAAAAAATGTATGTATGTGTAAGCACACACATATTTATTTTTCTCCACAGCTTTGTTACTGTACATTCCTGGTACGACTTCAGGATATCTTCTTTTAACTGAAGTAATGCTATATAAATAGCTTCCCTTACAAAGATCAGGAAAGAGACCTCAGCAAAACAATTATGCAAAGTCATCAATTTTTAAACTCTGAAAAAGGCTGTCCTATGAAGAAATTAAAATAAAAACACATCATACAAGTAAATAGAGAAAATAAAGTAATTTCACCATTTTTGCTTGTAAAAGCTGGAAACAGGGTACAGGACTTCAGCATGATACTGGACAGGAAATGGTGTAAGTATTGAAACAGTGATGAATTAAAAATTGTCAACTAAAAGTGAAAAAAACTAGATAGTGAAATCATAAGTTCATACTTAATTTTGTGTTAGGCATTGGTAAGCAATTTTCACTAAAACTCGCTATCTTTGAACTGTGAAATGGAAGTATAATACTTCTGGTAGGTACTTACAAACAAATTAAAGAAAAGGGAGTATTACAGAGAAATGCATCCAAAAAACCAAACAACCTCACCCTAACTAAAAGAGCAATTTTTCAGGCTTTTTCTCTCCCCTTCACTACAATAAAAATCCTCCTTATATAAGAAGTTCCCTCCTTGCTAAGAAATTCTACTTACTGAAACCCACACAGCAAAGAAAGTTTCTTTTCACGTTTTTGGTAGCCTAGTACATCTTGACCTCAAGGTACCATTTTTTAATCTATGCCCTTTTTACATATTGGTCACATAAAACAAAAAATATAACCTTGATTATAAACATGTTTCCTCACGATCTTCAACAGCAAATCACTACAAAACATCGTTGTTGGTAATCATAAGGAATGTGATCTGGAGTTTGATCTGGAATTACTGTACCAGATGAGCTGGCATTCTAGCAACTTCAAAGCATACAATTAAGTCACTAAAAATGAGATATCTGAATGAATTTTTGTTCTAAAGAGAAATATATTCTAACTTACAAAAAAACCTAACAAATCAAATAGACCAGACCTGTGTGACTGTAAAGCAGGTATGCCTGGCAATACTATTTTTTAAACCTAAGAGCAATAAGGAAAAGAGAAAGGGGGACTTTCAAAGTAGGTATAGCTGCATTATTTGTTTTTGAAGGTGTTTAGAAAAATAATTAAATATGATAAAGAACATTTTAAAAATCAGGTAGATAATTTTGAGTCCTACAGTTAAAGTAACACTAATATAAACCATGTCTTGGTTCCTTTACATTTTGAAAATATTAGACACTGCTCTATTAGAGAAAAATTCCAGTAGAGTAAAAACACAAATAGATGAACAACTGAAAGTATGTGTTTTGTACTTCAATTACAAAAAGATACACTTCACCATTTTAAATTGAGTTTCTACAGGAAAATAAGTTTATACAATTGCACCATGATTTCCTCTCTCTTATGTTTTTCTCTAGCCAATTTAATCATCAAGTTTGAAAAGGTATACAGTTCCCAAACGCACTATTTTCATAGAATTTTCTTGGAAATCAGCCACTGAACAGTAGAGAAACAAAAAAATGAAAGCCTTACTGAAGGAAAAGCAAGAAAAACTGATATCAAAGTATGTCCTAAGGGTCAATAATCCGGTGTTCAGTGCCATTGCCTTTCAACAAACACAGCCATTCTGTCACAGATCTTCCACGCAGATAAAGGACATCAACAGGAAGCTCACATGTAACTAAAGCATGCCTACGGCTGTGGAGTAAACCAGACTTCCCTATTAGTGCCATTAACAAATAACTTAACATTCTTTGCAACTTCAGAGAAGATATTGTTGTAGCTTACCATAAGTTTGAAGCTATAAAAGAAACATTTTTACATAATCTCCAAGATATTTCTAGAAATTTTCTTCTCATTTTCATGATTTACAGCTACCTACAGCATTCAGTCGATGCAGTAAAGTTCAGAATACCTTGTAGGTAATTCATACTATAGAATTTCCTAATACTGAGAAGTATCTCCAACAAACTTGTTAAGCATGCCAGCTTAATGCCTAGCATGATGCTCAGAAAGGGATCATGGTATATTGGACCGAGTAAAGACTGATGAGTTCTGTGCTGGTTCCAAAGTGTATTTAAACATTAAGAAGATATATAGGATGCAAGACTGAAGTGATGAAAAATAACTGCTGAGAGAGACAGAATTTCACAACTTACCCTGAACTTTATACAGTCGCATGGTATGTGTAACATGGTGGAAAAAGCACACGACTTCTGAGAAAATCCTTCCATGAGCAACTCTTATGATAGGTGGATCTGTAAAAATATAAGGCTACAAAATGAAAATAGAAAGTTAGAATAATTATTTTTAAAGTGTTGCATAGAAGTGTCAATAAATCAAAGTATTTAATAAATATTAAATAGTATTTTAATTTTTTTTAAACTGTTCTATATCTAAGTCTAGTCTAAAAAGTGGGAATTTAAAAAATTACTCCTAATGTGAAATTCAGCAAATTCTCTTCAGACCCTCTTCCTTTAGCTAAAATTAGGATAACCCTCATCACATATTTCACAGGTATTGTATGAGGATTAATGGGTACAAGGCCTACAGACACACACAGTAATGTATTAATAATGCAGACATCTGGATTGAGCTTTTTTGCTAGCAAAATTATACTTGCTAACCAGTCATCACATACTGCAATTTCATAATCTGTGGCAGATGTTCTAACTGTCTGTATGATTTGCCCAGTTTAAAATATCAGTTGCACAGAAGAAAGCTACCTCTACATTGTCTTCTGCATCAGTTTGCATATCCTTTTGAAAATTAAAGGGGAAAAAGCTTTTTCTTCATCAAAAGCAGCAACAGTTGCCAGGGAAAACTCCTGGAATACAAGGTAGAGCTGGGAACCATTAAGAAACCTCAGGAGGGACACTGGCTTCTTACTAATTTCTCAAAGGCTAGCAGAGATTTTGCATATCCATAGTCAAACCAGATAAATGCAAATTATTTCTCCATGCAGTCACAGTATTTTGAATCTTGGATAAGCAAACAATGATTTTTTTTAACAGTTGATCCCAAATGGAACTGCATACACTGTACAGTAATACATGGATGATTACAAACGTAAAAAGGGGTTAATAGTAAGCATGTGCAAAGTCAAAAGTGAAAATACAACACATGCAACTACTAATATAGGGCAACTGCAATAAATAAAGACTTCACTCAAAAAAACCCCAACAAAATACTTCAAAAATGTGTCATTCAGAGGGATCTAAGCAGAAAACTCTTAAAAGGTGGCTGTCGTCCTCCTCTATGTACCAATGTCATAACAAAGACTGTGTTCTTGCTTCCCAAGCAAGGAAACAGAAGATCAAATGTATCTTGAGGAAGAGAGGAAGTCAAGATGATATACACACAGACATGTCAAAATAGAACAAGCAGAGGTACATACAGTCCAATCTTCTTCTTTGAGCACATAATTATCATATTGTATAAAAAAAGAACCTGAAAGAAAATTTCAAAGTCTAAATAAAGCCTGCCTTTCTAATCACATTTATTCTTAGTACTTCAGACAGAAAACTAATAAAAACCTTGCCAGAACTCCAAGAGGCAACTCTGCAGCTACCAACTACAGGAATACTTTGTACAGGAGGAATCTGGTAGAGGAACCGTATCTACTTACACTTTGCTAAGGTGGTTTGTTTTAGGGACAGGTATTTTACATCTTATGGCAGTATTTTCTCCAGTTACTCAGTACAAAACCCCAAATAAGTCCAAAAGACTGTTTCCTTAAGGGGTGGCATGAAAAAAATGATACCAATGGACAAGTGTTATCTGTTATGTAAAATACATTTGCTAGCTGAGAAATACAGGAGGATTTTTAGGTATTAGGAGGGAACGGAAGCCAGGTGAATTAATATGCTGGGATAAAAGAAATGTGAAGACCAGATCTTAGGTTAGAATTTGAGTTGGCTTTTTGGATTCCCTTTTTTTCCATGAAAAACTGCCAGGATCAATAACTGTAGACTGGATCGTCCCCTTTCTTCTGGCAGAAGAGATCAATATCTATCTGCTTATCTATCACACACAGGTAGAGAAGACAAACTCATTTAACTTGTGACTACATGCTTCTAGAAGCATATGTTCAGATAAAGATCCCACAGAGGAACTGGATTACTGACAGTAAGGTGGAATAATCAAAAACTGCCAAATCCTACCTGCAGGGTAGGGCAGCATGAAGATCCTCAGGTTAGCAATGAGGGACTGAAACAGAAGCTGAAGGGGGTCTCAGAAAATGAACTGAGAAACTGAGGTCTTCAGGCGCACATACCCTCACCAATTATTACCAAGGAGAGTACTACTTACACGAACAACAGCCTGCCAAATACGTTCTGTTAGCAAAGAGACACCTTCTTCATAGGCTTATTTCTGTTGTTTGCAAAAACATTTCTCACTACAGCTGTCACTGGAGCTACCCAAGACCAAACCATCAAAATGGAGAGATGCTGGGTGAGTGACAAAGGAATGCAAAAGGCTGTGCACAGTAACAACTACTAAAAATAAAATAAAATAAATAAAAAATAAAAACCAAAAAATACATTGGAATAAACCTGTTATTATAAAACTTATTATCTGTTAGTATAAAGCCTGATGGTGACGTTGACAACTACCAAAATACATTGTTCCCATACAAGCAGAAAGCTGAAATGAGATACATTTAACAGGTCTCAGATTTTGGGATATTGTCACAAACAGCAAGTTCACACAACAGAGTCCTCAAGCTGCGCATGTAGCCAGATCAGCTCCCCAGCTGAAAATAAAGGTGACCTTACCTTTACAGAAAGATAAGGTGATAGGAAAGAAGAGGAATAAAGCGTAATTTTGCAGATACTGTCTGAAACCTATGAATTTCTTTAAATCAGAATCTGCGATTCTACTAGCACATGCATTGATAGAAACGTATCAAAACCAGTTTTCAAGCCCTTAATTCAGACACAGTGCAGGGAAAAGGTACAAAGGAGGAAAGACTTAAAGGCACATGTTGTCGACATGTGGTTTTGGGGATTAGGCAAATTCTTTCTGGTACAAAGAGTAGAGATACAATATATACTCAAGTTCTCTGAGATGCCTGTTGCTTCCCGATTGTTGGTCACACAGGAAAAATGAAGAAAAATACGGTACTGAGAACAGGGAAGCCTCCTAATTCTTATTTAGTGCTTAGAAAAGCACTAATCCTAGAAAGTGATTTCTTGCTAGTCATCTGGAGACATACTGAGTTCAGAACCTATGAAGAGATTATTGACCAGGTTTGCCATACTGAAAGCATTCCAATGAATCAGGCTTTTAAGCAGGAAATCATCATTATGCATTGAATGTTCAATTATTCGAATATCATTGTAAAGATCCTTGGTGAGATGCACAGAAGCCTGTGAAATGATCTTGGTCCTGGCTCTGAAATATAATGATGCTTTTGATGTAAAAGTCTGACTAAGGTACAGAAATAGGCCTCTTAGATACAAACCACTTTCCTTTCTAAGTGGAAGGCACAATGATTGAGATATTTGCAAACTGATTGGACAAAGTCTTGGTCTGAATTCAGTATTTACTCAGCTTTGAGTGGGAGCTTGGACTAAATGACCTTCCAGCATGAAGGATTATAAGATTACTGAGACCTTAAATTAGGAATAAAAAAACCCCATTGAGTCTCATATCCAGTTGTAGTCCCAAGACTCCAATTCCTAAACAGTTAAACTGAAAAGTCTCTGTAAAAAATCTGTTCTCCCTCAACTCCACCAGAATGAATTCTACTGTACAAGATTCAGCAGCCTGCTGTGGCAGGTTTTGTTGAGCCTGGAAAGCAGCATTTTCAGAAACAGGATAACAGAACTAGGGGTCAAAGGGTCCAGAAACCATTTTGCAGTACTCATGTTCAAGAGAAATATCACAACCTCCCCTTGAAGGAAGGAAGAGAAGGGAAAAAAAAAAAAAAGAACTAGAAATCTTGGAGCAAAATAATAACCTATAGCTCCCTAGGGTATCTTAAAATACTTGGCATCAAATCAGGTGCCACAGGGCGGAGATAACTGGAGAGGCGCCTTCACCTAAAGGTTTACTGGCTTGCACAGAAGTTGGCATGGTGCATTGCAGCTTGAAGGCATGAAGCATGGGCAGTAAGCCTGGCCTCTTGTAGTCAAGTGAAGCACTACTAACCATCTTAGTGTGGCCTAGAAATTTCTGGCAGCACAGCACGCTGTTGGTGTGGAAGTCAAACAAACTATGCCCAGAGGAAAGTTTTATAACATGGACTGAATTGTTCTTGATATGACAGATTTTGAATAAGAACTCAAGACAAAGCGTTTTAGAAAAGTTGCTTCTCACTAGCAGGTTACCCTCAATTTGGCAGGGTTTGAGATTAGACTGGGCTTTGGGCGGGGCCAGGAATAATAAAAAAAAAATAAATCCAATAGTATGAGACCTTGAAGTCTGTGTTTTAAGAATTACCTGACAGAAGACAGAGAGTTGTCATTTTAATAGTTTTGTCTGCAAAACCAACCCCAACAATGTGTGGGGCAGAATTTTAGATGACAGTTTTGATGTTTGAGGAAAATACAAAGCACCAAGGAAAGAACAGACACTCCAAAGGCAGCTGATTCTTGAGCATTGTGAGCACCCTCCAGGTAATGGTGCTTGGGTACTTATCTCTTCCTGTTATCAGACATACAAAAACAGAGGGAGCATTAAAAATAAGGATACTATGCTTGAATGAGGATGTTCTGCCTTTTTGAGAGGGAAGATCCGGAGATGAATACTGTGTGAAACTCTAAATGGATAGTCTCTCTCCATTTTGGCAGTGGAAAATCCCACTCTCACTTAAAAAAATGCGGAAAGATACATAAAATCCCTTAGGTTTGAAGGCCAAGCATACAGATAACTCGGATATGTGCTCTTCTCTGAGAAGTAGAGGCAACAGGTAATCGTGAGAGATTAAAAAAGGAACTGGCATGAGAAGTTACTTGAAGCTAGCAGCACTGCTGCAGCTATACAAGTCAGAGATCATCATCAGTAAAGGAAGTTCAGCCATGAAGATCATGAAGATAAAAACTGAGGAGTAAAAAAGAGAAAAGCTCTAACCCTAGAGAGACTCCACAGGATAAAAAAATTATATCTCTTTTCTTATACAATTGTTAGTACCTAAGTATCTAGAACAACCAGTACATACATGTACACAGATGCCTGAGGGAGAATCACGATTCTCAGATTGGTTACACCAAAAAAAGTCCACTTTGATTCTGAAAAATTGATTTGTGAAACAACAAAATGAATGACTCACATTGATCCCACAAAAATCTGACTCTTTGGAAAAAACTGCTTTGTTCTATTCCCTATTAATACCAGCTAGTAAGTAGGTCATCACATATTGACTTGTCTTGAATACACAGAAGAAAATACAGACATTTAACAGTTCGAAGTTTATTGAATACTGACTTTCTTTTTCTGCCCAGATCTAACGATCTAACAGATTTAGGGAGCTGGCCATCCTTCAAAATATCACAAGAGGTACAAAGAAAAAGCATTCTGCTTATGAACGGAAAACATATTTGTATCTGTTGTGAGCTCCAAGGAAGTCCCTTCCTTACAAATCTTGAAAATGTTGTCTCTTGATAATGTTGTCAATAAGTTAAGCAGCACCAACATTTAAAAAAAACTTAAGACAATACCTGTCTTTTTCCCTGGCACCTTGTTTGTATTCTGTTTTGCAGAAAATACAAAAACATGGTGGGAGCACTGCCTCATGTTCAGAGCTGCTGCATGGAGCCTCTGCTCTTGTGTCCTTGCCCTGAGCTACTTTTACATTTCAGAGACAGCAGGGACAGAATCATCCATGGGCAAGAATCTATGCCACAACCACAGAGACTTTTCTTACTGGAGGCTGCCTAGCTGCACATGGCAATGTTTGCCATCGTGTTGCAGAGCCATAAATCCACCTATTCTTTCTGGAGCAGTGACGAAGAGTTATTGGTGTTTGGTGTACCTTCTGTTCAATACCGCATAAATCACTGTCATTAACCCAGGTCTCTGCGGGTGTCCAACTGACGCCCGGTACAAGAGGCTCACCACTTCTTAGCAAGAACGCACTCTCTGCAGTACTCCAGGCTGGTTTTAGATCAGACATAAAGACGACTAATCCATGGAACCTCTTGAGAGATCCAGGTCTGTGTGTATTCTAGTACACAGACCATCACCTGTAGAAAACATGACCTCCACTCGTAACAGCCTACTGATGATCAGAGCTGTATTCTGTGTGTTACGTGTTCTAAACCGACACAGCTTTAAGTCATGGCCTGCAAACCTAGCACCTTAGAGAATCGTTTCCAAAATTAAACTGGCAGAAGAACCCAAGACCAAAAAGGCTATAAGAACTATAGTAAGACAGACAATTTCTGCGTATTGCAGAACTGAAAAGAAAGGAACCAAGAACCAAAAGACTTAACAGCCAGTTAAAAAAAAAGGCAGAGAACACATAACTGTACTCAGACCTGAGAAAAATGACCCAGCATGAAAGGCAGTTATTTTTTGCAAATCTTGAAGTAATAGAGTAAGAGGGATAGGAAAAAAAATACCTAGGCAAAAATCAAGAAAACTCCCTCTATCCTATCACCACTCCACACAAGCCTTAGAAAATGTGACTAAATCCACCTCACACTGAGAACCCTGAAGAGATGGCATTTCTTTTAAGACAGAAATCATTAGTTCAGACTGGTTTAGAAACTACTATAGAATTACATTGTTATTCCCAGTGGGACAACCTAATTAATGTTATTAAAATGCAAGCCAAATGAGCCTTATGGTATATTAATGAAGCAGAATTTTTAGAAGTATCATGATTTCATTTTTATTGTATAAAAAGTTAAAAGCTGAACACATCAGCCTTTTTAACATTAACTAAAAATGCACTTTAATTTCATTTTTCAAAGTTCAGTATGTACCTTATTTTCTGTTTGCAGTTACGTGACACTTTCTGTTTCAACAACAGCATTTTGATACGTATAGACTTGTTCAGATTATTTTTATAAAGCAAGTAATTAATAAATTAGATTTAGTGATTATTGGGTTTTTTATAAAGAAAAGCTTACGTAGCATTTAAAATAAAATTAAAGTGTGACCATGCAGCTGATGAAAGGTAAAAATGAAAAAAAGCAAGAGATATTGTTCAGCAATCCATGGATCAAAAAAACTGGCATCTAAAAATTAAGAATAAGTGAACCCCATTGAACATAACTGATGCAAACAACTATGGGACTACGTTTAGTAAATGGTTTAAACATGTCAACTTGCAGAACTCAAAATGGGTGTTCCTACGAGAGACTGTTAAAAGGAAACTGTCCACTTCCAGACTGATATACACATATAACAAAACAAAAAAACCCCAAACAACAAAAAATGAACAAAACACCCCCAACAAACAAACAAAAAAGTCCAAACAAATAACAACCAACCAACCAAATCACGCTTGCTTATTTCCTGAAGTGGTAAACACAGAACTCCCAGTTTGCCTTATGCATGCAACTTCTTTCCCCATGAGAAACCGGACAGAAGAAATACACTCCAAACCACCTAGCTTCTTAAAAGTGTTCATGATTTTATCATTTGCCTTCTGAAATATCAGTTTTCCAGGTCCAAAGGTGGTAGATTCCATATAATGACTACATCAGTGTAAGAACACTGTCATTTCTGAATTTCCAATTTGAAAACCAAGAAGAGTATGCTGTTGCCCTCCACTAATTACAAAACTAAAAATACTAATAACCCTAGAAAACTAAATCAGAACAGCTGCTTGCTACTTCATCTTTACATTCATCAATTGGGACTCAGTATCTTAACTACTATATTAAACTACATTTGATAGTATCAGGTACAAAAATACTACACCCTGATCAGAAAGCTCCTCATTCACAATAAAATAATCTTAATGTGCTGGTTTTGATTGGGAGACAGTTAATTTACTTCCTGGTAGCTGGTATGGAGCTGTGTTTTGGATTTGTGCTGAAAACAGAGTTGATAACAGAGGGATGTTTTAGTTACTGCTGAGCAGGGATTACACAGAGTCAAGGCCTTTCCTGCTTCTCACACCACCCCACAAGCAAGGAGGCTGGGGGTGCACAAGTTGTTGGGAGGAGGGGACACAGACAGCTGACCCCAACTGACCAAGGGATATTCCATACCATATGGTGTCATGCTCAGCGTATAAAGCTGAGGGAAGAAGGAAGGGGGGGATATTTGAAGTGATGGTGTTTGTCTTCCAAGTAGTGTTACATGTGTTACACGTCCTGCTTTCCTGGAGATGGCTGACCACCTGCCTGCCCATGGGAAGTGCTGAATGAATTCCTTGGTTTGCTTTGCTTGAGCGTGCAGCTTTTGCTTTACCTATTAAAAACTGTCATTATCTCACCCATTAGTGTTCTGAGTTTTACTCTTCTGATTCTCGCCCCCATCACACCATGTGGGTACTTAGTTGTCAGGTGGGGTTGAACAATGGCACTCAAGAATTAGAAAAGTGATGAAATGAATCATTATGTCCTACCTACACATTTTCACCATAGGAGCGAAAGTCAACTTATTTTGTTGATGTGAATGGTCACATCTCACTGGATTTCTTGCAAGGGTAGCATCTTATTTAAGTTTTTTGGCAAATCATAAACATCCTGCATATTTTTACACTTACAAATCAATGCTGTGTTTTTAATCAAATCTATGGTTATGAAGCATGAGGTTCTGCCAATCATTTCAATAACTGATGGGATTATTTCTAGCCACAGAGCTGGATTTAAATGTTGGGGAAAACTTGCTCTTCCAATCTATATTTGCAGAATGCTTCGAGGTACTTCAAGATTAGAATCTCTCTGCAAACGAAAGATTTACCTTGGCATCTCCATCTGGTAAGAAGAGATAAGCTCCACTTTTATCCCGGTTACTTGTAGTTCCATACCAGGCAAACTCCACCTTCATTGGATGATTTTTGCCATCTTCTTTGGTATTTATTTTCTAAGGACAGAGAATCATGTTGGAAATAGTTGACACATTTAGATTTCAGTGAATAAGAACCTAAGTTCTTAGAAAAGCAAAACACAGTGTTTTGAAATGCAACACACCTCCAGTAATCCAGACATTCCAGAAAACCACAGTTTCATGTAAGAATTTTCTAAGATTATATTATCCACAGAATTCTGTAACTCTTTTATCTTGAAAAGTCTGTCTGGCTTCTCTTGCTTACTATTCCTCATGTATATATCATAGTCTGCTAAAACCGCTTCTGAACTCTGAACCTCCAAAAGCTGGTAAACTCCAAGTCCCAGAGGTGGTAGATGAGCCACAAAAGTGATCTGTTGGGAGAAAGAAGCAGCTATTGTTAAAAACATTAAGGTACCAACTTTTTACACAAAATCTATGCACAGAGTAACTCCTTTTGCTAATTTTAGGATGGCTGGGGTTTTTTTTTCCAAATTCCGTAAGTTAATATGAAATTGCAAAAGACATTCCAAAATTAATAGCTGAAGCATATTAAGAAAAATTAGCAAACAAAAATGTCTCTGCCACTAATTTGTTTAGCATCAGATCACTCTTGCATTAATGCAATAATGACACTGAATTTTGTTAATATAGGATAGTAGCTGTGATGTGCAGTTTTGAGGCTATTTGCCGTGCATTAAAGATGCATGTGTAGCTTATAAAGCGCACAGAGACCCTGCTTATCACTTAAGCTGCATTTTAAAATCCACAAATTTAAACAGGAAATAAAAGGCAACTATCTCATTTTTAGTCTCTGGTTATTTAGGAGCTATAATCTGCACTGAACAGTAATATACAAGGTAGCTCTCCAAGGCAATTTGCTTAGAATCTGAAGTACAGATAGGTAATTTTATTTCATCTTCAGGCAATTCCCACACAGTGTTAATTATTGTACTAGTTTTGGCTGGGACAGAATTAAATTTCTTCATAGTAGCTCATATAGCATTATGTTTTTATATCAACAGTGTTGATAGCACAGGGATGTTTTAGCTGTTGCCGAGCACTACTTTTGCAGCATCGAGCCTTTTCTGTTTCTCACACACACCCAGCACTGAGCAGGCAGTGGGTGCACACAAGTTGGGAGGGATACAGCTGGGAAAGCTGACCCCAACTGACCAAAAGGATAACCCAGACCATATGGCATTGTGATCAGCAATACGAACTGGGAGAAAAAGAAGGAAGGGGGACATGGGGAGTTATCTGTACCCAAGTAACCGTTATGAGCGATGGAGCCCTGCTTTCCTGGCGTTGGTTAAACACACCTGCCTGACCATGAGGAGGAGTGAATTAATTCCTTGTTTCACTTTGCTCCCATGCACAGTTTTAGGTTTATCTATTAAACTGTCTTTATACCAATCCTCGAGTTTTCTCACTCTTACCCTTCAAATTCTCTCCCTCATCCCACCTGGGGCAGTAAGAGAGCAGCTGTGTGGGGCCAAGTTGCCTCCTGGTGTTAACCCTGTGTTGGGTTTCTGGAGGGAGGGGGATTGGTAGTGGGGAAAGGGCCACAGGGATGACTCTTGTAAGAAGCTTCAAGAAAAGCTCCCCACATGCTGAGGGGAAGAGTAAGCAAGCGCTGCCTGGGCATTTATTGCCAGCTGCGCCTAAACCACAACAACCCACAACAATTATCAATAATTATCCCGTTGGAAGACAACTGACAGACACTTATGGAATTATCTTCACAGGAATGTTACTCTGAAACAAGTTCAATTTGGCACCCAAGTCGAAAGGACTCAGACTAAGAATGTAAGCCTGAAAGTAAAAAGACAGAGCTTATATAGTATTACTATATCACTAAGAACTGAACAAAATACAGTTTCTGATGTGTAGACAACTGTTTATAATGAAGCATGACTCAAAGATTCTCAGAAACATTGTTTAAAACCAAAAACAAGAGGTAGACTCAAAGTCATGTGTCTAGAGTACAAGAGTAGTGGAGATTACTATCCAGCCTCTACACATGAAAGACAAAATAAGAAAATAATCAGCATCTAACTGCTTAAGCCATTGCACTTACAAAGCCTTCAAGCTGGAGTGCTTGAGCACGTACAGACAATGTCACTGTGTGTATGGACTATCACTTGAATGAAAAAGCAGCTTTGAAAAGGTGGGGGAAGACACACAGTATCCAGTATTTTCTGTTCATGCAGCGGAAATTGACCATTTAAATATAATACACCGTATCATGAAAGTTTAATAACTTTTTGGTTTAAGAAACATTAATGCTTAACATATATATTTAGGGTTTTTTTCTCCTTAAAATGACTAATTAATGGCATTATCTGCAGAGGACAGAATTGCCAATATCTGAAGTATGCTACCACTTTTCTTCAACTGTGAAGCTGGAGTATCTGTGAAAAAATACTTCAGTGCTTTTTACTTAAAGTAACGTACCTGATATGCTTCATGTGATACTGTAGTTGCTCCATTCCAAACAGCACTAATCTGGACAGTAACAGGTTTTCCCAAAGGAGATAATACTTTAACTCTGGGTGAATTTACGTTGACCGAAACGACTGAAAATCGCTCTTGTTCCGTAGGATTATATAGCAATAGATACCTGTAAAACATATTTACCAAATTATCTTTTGGCAAACAAGCTTCCTTGTTGAAGTTTAATATTACTGCACATAAATTTTACATACAGAGCATTAAAACAATGTTAAAACAACAGGTACATACCACAACAAATAAATATGCAAAACATAACCAGGAAACAATGGATATTTAACATCAATTCTTCGCAGATCTTCTTTTCTTAATGCTATTATTTTTCCAAGCAATTTTGATAATACCTTGCAATAAAAATACATCAATTTCCCATCTAAACTACTAAAGAATTGCTACTAACAGTGAAAGCAAAATTGAGATATTTAAGGGCATTTTAAATGTATTTTTCAGGCTGAATTCTTAGATTTGTAGAGTTGTTTTCCCTTTAATTTAGAAACAACAAAGTAATGAACAAAACCTGCTGTATACACATATCTGATATATGTTCTGTAAACTAACTAGGTTCTCTCTGCTATAAGGGAAAATTCAAAATTATTAAAATCATAGTTTACCAAAATTCCCTGAGGCAACTGTCTGTGTATACACTGAAATCTTTTTATTAGGTATATATGGAATAACTGATTTTTATGTAATCTTATACCTGTTCCTCCATTTAAACACAGATTAAGTTACTAGCCAAAAGAATCAGACCTGAAACTGAACAGAGCAACTTTATTAAGTCCATATATATATTTTTAAAATTATTTTCATATGAGCTAAGTTATAGAATTATAAAATGATACTAGAACATTTGTGCCTCATGAATCTCTGGGGCTATTGTTGTACTTCTTGACTTTTCATTGTCACGCTCAAAGGTGCACTATTTACAACTGTTCCCTGAAGTTTCCCTCTGCTCATTTCACCCTCAAAAAAAAAAAAGTGTCTTTAACTATGGAAAATGTTCTTGACAAAGTTTCTAATAACTTCTTAGATACACAGCAGAATAGATATTCTATCTTCAACCTCCCTGACCCTTCACACTGTAAAACAGGTTACTTCTTCATGAAATTTTATCTTTAATCAGTTGCTATGTATCCACTTCTTACTTATCAAATCAATCCTTCAGCATTTATCCTAACTAGATTCTCCTCATTCTCCGCTTTTATGCAGATTCCTCAGGGTTCTGTCAGTAGTTTTCTTTCTTTTCTTTCACATCTTAACCTTCATATTCAATTACCAACTTCACAGATCAAAATGTTTCATATAGAATTGTCTACTTCCACCAAACTGGAAATCTCATTGTGTTACTCAGGTCTTGAACTTACATATCACCGGTAGCTTGAACCTCTCTCCATAATCTCATTCTGACTGTAAGTCTTCCAGATTCCTTACCCATATACTTAGTCACTCTGTGCTCCCATGTTGCCAAGCCTGGCACTCAGTACAACTAAGGTCCTGCCACTTCCATAGCTAAACCCTTTAATCTAATTTCCCAACATTAGCTCTAAACAGACTGAGGATAGCCCTCTTTCACACACATGCCAGAGGAGAGCAAGGTCCCCTTGGTACCATACATTCTGGAAGGCAATGAACAAAACTGCTGAGATGATACTTCGAAAATAATGAAACAGCAAAATTCAAGGCAAACTGCTTAGAGTTAATAAAGAAGTACAAACGTAAGTCTTCATTCTGAGAAAGGGCTTCTACACATTTTGTGTTAAGTCACAGGCTAAGTTAATCCACCAATAAACTGTGAATGCAAACAGACACAAGGAAAATTATTCTTTCTTCTCACCACCGTTGAAAAATATCCCCTACCCTCCTTCCACCCTGCCCTTTTAATTTTTTTTTTTTTTTTGGCAACACTATTCTAATTTTATCAAATGCCGTTTTGCTCTATGGATACTCAGAATCATTATCAATATTAGCCAGGCTACCATCTTCCCCTTATCTTTTCATTGGTTCCATCTTCCACTCTGCAACAAACTTAGGCTGTTTATCTTCAATTTCGTAGCCCTTCACTGCTACCCTACAACCTCACAATCAGTAGGAAAGGTCAAATCCAACTTCTCAGTCAAACACTTTTTCAAGACCTCCTCATATACCGTGAACGAAGAGTGTAAGAACTCTGTCAGAAACAATATAGAGCTTAGAGGTGATTCAACACCAAAGCTCAGAATAAATCATCATTCTTACCCATCAACAGAAACTTACAAAAATCTCTTATTTATTCTTTCTATATAGTGGAATTCCTCAGTTCTTATGTTCCCAAGTAAAGTGCTAGTTTGTGGATACAGTTCATTGACTAATGCTATACATCCTCACTAAATTTAAATTATCTGCCAAACAAAGAACATATTCATGTAAAAATACTTCCAAAAACTTTGTTCACCTTCCCATTGATATAAACATGTTACACAACTTTAATTATTTGCATGACAAATTTACCTATGACAAAACCCCTTAGGAACTGCCACATTACCATTATATTTCACCAGACTATATATATTTTTTAATATTTGGATACAAAGCTCTTGTACCAAGGTATGTATATTTTCTACCTTCCTGAATTAATGTATTGTAATTGCGTTGTGTGTGTGTAGAGTAATAAGGCAGTCCGATGAAACTACTAATGACAGAGCAGATTTCCAGCAGCTGAAATGCAGGAATTTTGCCTAGGTGCTAGTATTTTGTTATCAAATTATA